AAAAAAAAATAAAGATCACAAAATGAAAATGCACACACACAATCAAATGTTTGATCAGTATGATCAAATAATTTGATTAACATAAATAAATAATTTTATACAAACATAAAACTAAGAATGTTTATGCAAACCACATTGTATTTTCAATAATTGGATTAAAATCTACTTTTATTGTTAAAACATCATCTAATGTTACAACAACATTTTCATCTATTAAACCTTCTTCTAATTCCGAACTGAAATATTAATACAAAATAGAAAAAAAAATATTTTTCTTTCTAATTTAATTCTTATACTTACGTCGTAATACTTCGTTGTTCATTTAACATTTGTCCTTCATAATCAAGATTAAGTCCACGAGATACACAAAGTGTAGCATAATGAACAGGTGCTGGAATAGATACAGATTTTGTACATCGAACATCTGTATGACAAAGATAATATCTAAAGAATTGATTTTCTTTTTAGATAGAATTATTTAAGAATTTATTTTCTTACGTTAATTGTTGAATTTCATCAGGTGTAAAACCAATATTATCGTATATTACATGATAAAGTGTTGGTCTTGATGTTCCTTGAATAGCTGCATGGGAATTAAGATAAAAATCAAATCCATTTGGTGAAACAATATCTGTATCAATAACTGTGCCTTAAATAAAATAAAATTTTAATATTAAAAGCGAAAGACAAATTAATCTTTTACCTGGTAGAATATTAGTTGTTTGATTTGATTGTTTATCATAACAAAAAAAACGTGTATTATGACGTTTTTTAACAATAGTAAAACAAATTTTAGGTAATTGATTATGTCCATATAATTCTATTTAAATATTAATCGTTAATTTTATGCATTAATTTAAATAAATATAATAAAAATCTTACCTTTACATGCTTGTTGAATAGCTTGTACTTCATTATCAAGTACTTTTTGAAATGCTCCATCATCAACACCAGATCGATAAAAAACAAGTTTATTTGGTAATTGTGAATTATGTTGAGAAAATTCAGTTAATAATTCTCTTATATAAATATGAAGATCTTTTATTATTTCAACAGCTATTTTTCCTTTTGGAGAATATTGTTGAATAACACGACCAATATATTGTGTACCTAAAAAATAGAATTCATTTTTTTCTTAAATTAAAGAAAAAAAACTAAAATAAACTTGTAGAATCTTTTGAACCAATAACAGCAGCAATCGATGGTCGTTCACGTGAACATGTTGTATGAGTACAATCAATACCAAAAAACATAAAAACATCTGTACGACTCGGTGGAGAAGTTAATGCACGCATTAATGAAACTAATTGATTAATTCCACCTAATTTTGCATTGAATTTTTGTACCAAATTCTTTATAAATATAAATAAACAAAGAATTTTATTAAATAAAACTAATTTACTTGAATATACATATCCATTTTACGTGTTTCACTATTTGCAAATAGTTTATCAAAACGTGTACATTGTGTTACCATACCTATAAATATAAACATAGAGAAAGGATATTGAACTGATGTTATTTTTCTTTTACCAAGTTTAACATTTCCAAAATATTTAATAGCATGATAAATATCATCGCCAACTTGATTAAGAATATAAATAATAACTTCACAACCTAACATTTTAAGTTCATTCATTCGTGCTAAAATTATATCTGGTACTGCAGCATCAGATTTTTCAATTGCTGCTGAAATAAATCGAATACCATATCTTGACATTGCCTATTATAGAAAATAAAACTACGGATATTTTTCTTTGATCGAATTAAAAAAAGAAATTTTTTAAACCTGTGGAATTTTATTTGCAAAATCTCTTGCAACACCAACTTGTCGTGCATCAGGTTCTTTTTGACTAACAAGAACAAGAGCCCATGAACGTATTTCACGAGCTCGATTAAAACGATTATTTAAATACCATTTACCAATTTGTACTTTTTCAATAATATCACGTTCATCACCTTGGGCGGATTTATATTTGATTTCAGGTGGTGTTAACATTCTTGCTGGTATTAATAACATATCATTTGATTGAACTTTTAAACCAAATTTTTGTAAATAAGGATCTTGATCAAATTGACGTTCATCAACAACACGTCGAATCATTCCATAACGTTCGCCAGGACGAACAACAGTTTTCTTTGTTACTTTAGCTCGTTGATCAACTGTCAATGGTTTTAAACTTCGTTGCCATTCATCAACAGTAACTAATTCCATGGGTAAAAAATGTGATTGATATTTATCTGATGGATTAAATAATTCCACAACTGGTAATTGTGGATTACGTAAACGAATTTTCCATCTTTCATCAAAATAATCAGCAACAGTTACTTGTTTACCTTGATTATCTCCATGATCTTGAGCAAATGTATGTTCATTTGCAGCAGCACCAAATGATTTCAGACGATATTTTCGAACTTGATTTGTATGTGTTGTTGCAAACCAAAGAGATTTTAAAACTTTTCGTATTAATAATGGTTTATCTTTTGATGCAATACCTTTAACAAATATAATTTCAAAGACAGATTAAAAATATTTATCAATAGAAAAATCTCGCCTTCATAATACTGAAGGTTGAAAACGTAAATTTATTTATATTAAAATATTTATCATATTCGAAAAATTTCGCATAAAAGTGACAATATTAAATATTGATATTCTCATAAAGAGAAATTATTTATCTTATTTTTTTTTTGTTTATGGATATTTATATAATAGAGTTATTTCTATACGATGACTCAAGGATAATTAAGTACATGTCAAAATACTATCTTATCTACCTTGATAATGTTTCATCATCGATTCAGTCATATATACCTTCAAAATTATTTTAATTGGTTATGTCAACAAATAACTAGAAGATATTATCGATTCAAGTTTATCTGATAAATTTAGTCTTATTCATAATGTTTAGACGTAAAATCATATGATATTTCTTCATATAGTATACGATTGAAAATGTCAGTTCATTGATTTTCTATACTTTTTTTTATAAAGTGTAAAAAGAATGATTTCTAATTTGATATGCTCACTCAAATCGAGTTGCTATTCAATCGAATAATCATTATATCAAAAGAAAAAAAGTTGTATATGGATAATCCATACGCATGAGACTAATAAGAATCTATGTTAAGTTCAACAATACTATTCAATCAAGGTTCTCATTAATCTTGTTCATATAGATTTGAAATATGAACATGTCTCTATCCTTGGTAAAATAATGCCTTTTTTTTCTCGGTAGAATATCCTATAGACAATTCTGTATATATCAATTCTATAGTGACAAAGGAGAAAAGAACAATGACGATATATCGTCGTAACTTTTGATAAATAAAACTCTAACTTACCAGATCTTCTAATATCTTGTCCTAAATAACAGGAAATAAATTCAACTAAATTATAATTTTGATAAAAACAACAAAATGTATTATTAATATTTAATGTTGGTCCATGTTCACCAAGTACAATAGCTTGATAAAATCCAGCTGCTAAACCACGTCCATCACCTTAATAAAAATCTTTCAATAAAAACGAAAAAAAAAACTCATTATCTTATTAAGATAATAAACTTTACCAAGATCATCTAATCTTTGATTTTTCGGATATGATTGATTTTTAATTGTAATCATTTCACTTTTTTGTGTTTGTTTAAATAAAGTTTCTAAAATTCTAACAGGATCATGTGGACGTATAGGAAGTTTTCGTTGAATAAAATCGAAAAGTATTTTTAAATCATAAGTTTTAACAAGATTAATAAGTAAAAATCGAAAACGATTTGTTCGTCCTGTTTTTTTATGAATTATTTCACATTCATATTCATTTTTAAAATTTAAAGTTAAATTTTCTTTTGCATATAAATTTTTTCCTTCATCATACCAAACAAGTGGAAACTTTTCACGTTCAATTATTGTTTTAAGTACTTGAAAACGTTCATCTTTCTTACATGAACGCCATGCACCATCACGCATTAATATTTCAACATCAACATCAAATTGATAAAGTATGATTGGTTCAGATGTTTTTTCAAATTCAATTTTAAAATGATTTGTATAAAGTTCAATTCGTTGACCAACTAAAATAAATAAATAAGTTTCTTTTTTCGAAAATAAATTTTTCTATTTATTGATCATACGATTTCCAGATTTTATTGGTCGTTTTGACATTGATAATACATGAGAATCTGGTACAGCTGAGCGAATTTGTACACGAACAAATGAACGTGAACGTTTTTTAGGATCACTTTCGATATCTGATGGTGGTTTTGGAATAGTAGAAGTCGAAGAAGATGATGGTTTTTCATCTACTCCAGTTGATGAATATGATCGACGTTGAGGTTGTGACGATGAACTCTCATCTATACGACTTGGTCGATCTAATATTAAAGTTTTAAGAAAATGATATAATTCTTATATAATTTTAATCGAATTAAAAAGAACAATACGTACGACGTTTAGATCGACGATCTCGATCATCATCTAATTAAAATAAATAAAATAGTATTTAAAAAAAGATTAATTTTTGAAATTATTTAAAATATATACCGTCAGGATAATCTCGACCTCTGTTCGACGACATTTGTCAATTATTATTTAATAATTATCAAGACAAATTGAAAACTAAATTAAAATAAATAAGTTCAAATTCTTCTTGATAGATATTCGAATCAATCGACAGATTTTTCTTTACAATCATTTCAACTATTACGTATTCGAATTTATACACATTATATTTTCATTTATGTCGAAACAGGCAACTTTTATGTTTGTAAATTCTTATTTTAAATACAATAGGATTTATAAGAATTTTTAATGTTATTGCATATAATCTCACAATGAGTTGAATTTCATAAAAAAAAAGATGTTTTTACTGTGAGGAACTGTAGACTGACTTTAACCTTCAATATAATGGTAGATTGAATAACGAACTAGATAGTCGGGATCCAAAGAAAACTCACTATGAAAAATACCTACCGTACCTTGTATAAAATAAAAAAGATTAATAATGATGATGATCGTTTTTATTGAAGGCAACAATATCAGATCGCTAACAAGAAATGGTTCAAAAAAAGAGAGGAACAACCCTATATATATAGCAAACGAGAAATGGGGAAGACAGTCTCAAAACAAGAGATGGAACTACGCAATAACAGAAAAAAAGAAAAAAAAAGAAATAACGCAATAGAAAAAGGTCATCAGGGTTTCATGATGAGCAGTTGGACAACACATATTTAAGAGGAAAGGAAGAACGTGTATATGTAGAGAGAGAGAATAGAAAGATATATAGGAAGGAAAGAAAAAAAAGAAACGATAGGTTAGCATCATGGTTATAGCAACAGATGACGCTTAGTGGTATAGCCAGGATCCTTCCGGTGGTAAGATTCTGACTACGCCATTAATGACGCTAACTTCTACATATGCAGAAATAAATCAACAAGTTTTTATTCTTAAAAATGAAATCTTTTGATACTTCAGCAAAAACTGACCAGTAATTTAAATTACAGTATAGAAAATAAGTTCCTTTTTAAATGTTAGAAACAAGATCATTTCTATTTGTTCTATAAAATTCGAATCGACTAAATTTTTTGTTATCATTAATGAACATCTATTTTAAAAAACAATATGAAAAATAAAACATTATTATATCAATCATAGATATTTCATAGTAAAACCTATATCATAATATTCGAAAAATGTCTTATTCAGTCGAAATAAAATAAAGCATGGATGAATGACTGTTAAAACCCTGCACGTGTATATTAAAGAAAAAAAGGCAAGATTCGTTGCGAATATCATCATAATATTGTCCTTCGTTTCAATGCGTACATATTGTAGGCAAAAAAAACGAAATAGTAAAAATCGTACTTAATCGTACAATACAATGTGCACTCGATCCTTCTTATCGTTTTTGACATTGATTTACGTAATCAAGTGTAGGAAAAATGAACAATTTTTTTAACTTACATATATATTCAAATGAGATAAAAGATTTGATAACAAAATCAAAAGAAGAAAATCCGTTTTTTTTCTCAATATGAAAAATAAATATTTATAATCCAAATGATAATACTATCTTTTTTTCTCGTAGGAATAAGAAAGAATAGAAAAGTGTTATCTATTTAAAATAGTATACGTGTAAATATTTTTAAGAAAAATACGATAAGAATTTGTAATTTTTCGTTGATTACAAAAATAAATAGAAGACCGATTAACCAATGAAATAATAATTTATTAAAAGTTCACATAAGATTAATTTTTCGATTAATACTCTATATTGGATTTAAATCTTCAGTGTATATTTTATAACCCAAACTTGATTAGATTTTGTTATATATTACGCAATAAATCATTCTTTTATTTTATAGATGCTCTTTACATGAAGGGCAATTCTCATATCTGTTATCTTAAATCGATTTTGAGGATTTTTTTTAATAGTCATAATGAATTATCCACCATTTCATATCATGTGATTAATTACAATACGGATCGAGTCATATATATTTATTCAGTTTCAATAATTTCATTGCTCGAATGACCTTTGTCATTCTTTTTTGATCCTATGCAATTCAATCAAATGATAAACATAAATTTGTATAAACTCAATGACCTTTAAATAATAGAAACTTTTTAAAACATTTATTTTGTAACTACCTAAGTTGAAAACTATATTATAGTGATGAATTTTAAAGTATATTCTAATAAATAATAATTTTTCATCAAAAATAAATTCTATTTTCTATTCTTCTTCAAAATAATCGTTACTAAACTTTTATTATTCAAATTTGATAATCTTAACATAAAAAAAAGAAATGAGTCAATTTTTAATTTATCGAATTATTTAAACCCATAAATCTAATCACTATTTATGTCTTTGTCTATCACAAGATTATTTAACAACATAATTAATATATCTATAAAATATATGAGAAAAATCTAATATAATTAATGATATTTCATTGAATAATTAAGAATGAAAAGAATAAATTCTATGATATACATATCATCAGAATTTGAAATAATCAAGGTCA